GCTGGAATGGAACTGAGAACACGTTCTTTTAACAGGGGAAGAAAGTGAGGATATTGTTCTGCAGAAACATCCCCCTAAATTCGGGGACATCTGGTCACAGTATAGCATGTATAGCTCTACACGCTATGCTGTATAAGAACTGTATGAGAAATCATATACAAATAAAGATGTCCATACACGCTTCAATCATATTTATTACAAAAGGAACCTCCTGTGGCCATAATTCAATTTCAGTCAATTTTCCTGACACCACGTTGAAAAGGAAGCGATCAGAAAGGTTTGGAGAATTTTCAATAAAGCTGTAACATTTGTGCTTTAATCATTTTTCCCCATTCAATATTTTTGTCATAAAATGTGATTGTGATCACACTGACTTTTACAATCTAACTGCCAGGATTCTTGTGTCATCTTGCATTAATATATGATTCCATAGTAAGTATTGTGATATCACAAGTAGCGCTGTGACAGCGTATTCAATATGATGATGCTATGATTGCTATTTGGATGTCTAAATCAATATATTGATGTCCTAGCATGTGTTTTGGTGTAAAAAATGAGATGGCATTTTTCAAGCATTATGAATGTCAATATTAGGATAGCAGAGCTAAAGTATGGTGATTCCCCCCAGCCCGCACCCCCCCCCCCCACTGACTTCTCCATCACGTCCAACAACGCCACCATCAGGCCCACCCCGCAAGCCAGAGTACTTGGTGTCATTCTAGACTCCAATCTATCCTTCTAGCCCCAAGTCCAATCACTAACAAACTCGTGCAGACTCCACCTCCGCAACATCGCCAAAATACGCCCATTCCTAACCCAAGAAACTACTAAGCAACTCATCCACTCCCTCATCATATCACGACTCGACTACTGCAACTCCCTCCTCACTGGCCTGCCTCACCACTGGCTATCCCCACTTCAGTCGATCCTGAATACGGCTGCCAGACTCATCCACCTTACCAACCACTCCGTTTCCGCCACCCCCCTCTGCCAATCCCTCCACTGGCTTCCGATTGCCCAACGGATCAAATTCAAAATGCTAACACTGACGTACAAAGCTGTCCATAACTCTGCCCCAAACTACATCACTGACCTGATATCCAAATACCACCCAAAACGTACTCTCTGCTCCTCACAAGACCTCCTTCTCTCTAGTTCCCAGGTCTCTTCCTCCCATGCCCGCCTCCAGGACTTCTCCAGGGCATCACCCATCCTCTGGAACTGCTTACCCCAATCCATCAGACTATCACCTACTCTCCTCTCCTTTAGGCGCACCCTGAAAACCCACCTCTTCAGGGAAGCCTACCCCGCCCTCTGCTAATTGCCGATCTCCTCCACTCTTCCTACCACTCCATCCCCCACTATCCCCTCCCTCCTAGATTGTAAGCTCCAAGGAGCAGGGCCCACGAACCCCTCGTGTATCGCATTGTATTGTTATTGTACTGTCTCATGTATTGTCTCTCATTGTAATGTACAGCGCTGAGCGAACTGTTGGCGCTTTATAAATACTGTATAACATTAATGTCAGAAAGACTAGAAGTCATAGGGGGGGATTTACTAAAACTGGAGAACTCAGAATCTGGTGCAGCTGGGCATGGTAGCCAATCCACTAACTTCAGCTTGTTCAATGAAGGTTGGATAATAAAACCTGGAAGATGATTGGTTGCTATGCAGAGCCGCTGGATTTGATTGGGTCCCCCTATGCTCTGCATGGGTAGGCAACACACATTTTCACACTTTGCACACTGGAGTCAATGAGCAGTCCTTGAGCTTGGTTTTGTGGTTTTTATTAGGGGTTAAACTTGGATGGGGTCTAGGAGTATATGGGATGCCTGAGGAACTGTAAGACTTAGCAACTATGTACCATGATTCAGCTAGAAACAGTCTTTTCTTTAAGAGAGGCAAAGGCTCTTAGGTGTGCCTCCTCAGACCCCGGATGATTCCTTCTCTTCACCTAGCTGCCCAAGGGTATCCCTAAGCAAGGGTGCCCAAGAGCTGTTAATTTAGAGCAGTCCCAGATGAGAAGCTAGTTGGGTCTTGCACCAGACTTCCCTCCCCTTATCTGGCCCAGTGGGTGTAAGAGTACTCACACCGTGAGCTTGGTGGGTTGGTGGTTGCCTTCAGGCCTAACACTGGGCTGGCTCCTTCCCTGCTATACAGGCTGTCCTCTCCAGGAGACATTGAGGCAGTGAAGATCCTCTTCTCTAGCGACCTGCCTGTAGGTAGGCCCCTCTCCCAGGTTTCTCACTCAAGCCTTTCTCAATCCATCTTCCACCCAACACTGCACCCTCCCCCCAGGCTCTGTCACATTTGAGGGTTGCCCTGGTCACCATTCCCAGCCTCCTGCCAGGGGGTTGACCAGAGTTCCTCAAACATGCAAATTTGGGCCTCCTCCCCTCCTCCACCCCTGTTCAAGAAAGCTCTCAGGTTTCTGGAAAGGTGGAAGTTCTCCAGAAGTTAGAGCCTCCCAGCCTGTCCGGAGGTGAGCTTACTACCTCACTCCCAGGCTGATTCATCCCCAGGCTGCTACTCAGCCTCTATCTAACAAAAACTACCTAACAACCCTGAACGGCGTTATAGTAAATAACCCCAGTAGTAACTGGGGCAGCACAGTGGCTAAATGGTTAGCACCTCCACCTGGCAGTCGTAGGGTCATTGGTTCGAACACCAACCACAGCACCACCTGCCTGGATTTTGCATGTTCTCCCTGTGGCTGTGTGGGTTTCCATCAGGTATTCACACTCCAAAAACATGCTGGAAGGTTAATTGGATTCTGTCTAAATTGGCCCCACTATATGTATGAATGTAAGTTCGGGATCTTACATTGTACACCCTTGGAGGGTTAGGGACTGATGTGAATGTACTATATATATATAAAGCACTATGTAAATTGACAGCGCTATATAGGTACCTGAAATAAATAAATAATAAAACAAAGGGATAAGGTTAACGGTAGGGCCCCTCAATCTTACATCACGATCCCAGCTAAAAAGGGGCCTTTCTGGCACAAGACTAGGTCCAGGATAGTTAAAAAGAATTTCTGTACCCCTCCATCCAGCTATTAAAAAGCTACTGTACCCCAAGGACTCCATTAACACCTTCAAATGGGGCTGTTTGTAATTACCCTCAGAAGACTCAGCAGGATCCATGCGTGGGTGGGACAACCCATTGCAAGCAATGGGAACCTGACAGCACCTGCAGCTAATTGTGGCCGATGGCCTGCAATAATAGCCTGCAGATGATCAGCCCTGGACAGTGAAAAGGGCCTTAAAGAGTATGTAAACCCAAAAACAAAAGTAATATACTGCAGCCTATCAGTCCTTAGATGTGTTGTCTGCATTCGTTTTCTTTTTAAATAATTTTTTCAGTATTTTTACCTGGTGATCCTGATAACAGCATGCTTTTTGTCCTAAGGTGACAACACTTACCGTACCAAAGGAGAGGCATTATCACCCAAGGACAGGAAATGGTTTAGAACTACAAAGCACCTCCCCTCTTCTCATCTCCATTACATATGGTGCAATTACGTTGTAGGTCACATCGGGTAACTGTGAAGGCAAAGAGCTTTGATATATTAGTTCAGTTCAGAGGACATTGCAAGGATGCTGCAGTTATAACAGGATCAATAGAAATTGTTCTGTACTTGCAGAAAATGTACTAATCCTGAACAAAGGAAACTAATGCGTCCACCACTTTTAAGAACTGGCAAAGGGGAAATTGTGTATTTCATATTTTCTTAATAATGTTGGGAGCAGGGGCGGACTGACCATTTGGAAACTCGGGCACTGCCCGAGGGCCCGGGGTCAGTAGGGGGCCCCATGAGATGCCCCTGGTACCTTTTTCATAGGCTTTTTTGAGTTTGGGCAAGGACACAGGAGCCCCATGACCTCCTATTGCCCGAGGGCCCCATGAGTTGTCAGTCCGCCCCTGCACAGAATATAACTGGATACTAACATTTATAAGTAACGTTGATCCAGGTAATATCCGATTACCTCTCGGGGGATCAGGAAGGAATTTTTTTTTCCTGCAGGAGGAAATTGGGTCATGCTTTGCTGGGTTTTTTGCCTTCCTCTGGATCAACTCTGGGTATAGGATTATAACTTCTTTTTTTTCTTTTTTGGGTGAACTGGATGGACTTTTGTCTTTTTCAGCCAGACTATGTATCAAAAACGCATCAAAAATTAACCAGAACGTGTCAAAAACACACATGCAGAAATGCATCCGGAAGGCATCTGGACTGCATTTCTATAGTGTGAACCGGCCCATTCATATTTATATGCATTACGGCACATTTTCAATTCACAGGGGTTGGTTTACTAATTTTCCCCAGAACTTTGTGAATGAGATGCAGCTCTGCTGATTCTCATCATCCAATTGTGTGCAAGCAAAATGCTTGTTTTTTTTTTTCCTTGCACTTGATTGGGTTTTCACCACATTCACCAAGTCCTGGGGCTAATTGCCTTGGAAATTGAAGTCTATTTGCCCACACTCTTCAATAAGGGGTTACAAATGTATGCATCATGGCGCAGGGGCAGACTGACAACTCATGGGGCCCCCGGGCAATAGGGGATCATGGGGCCCCTGTGTCCTTGCCCAAACTCAAAAAAGCCTATAAAAAAGGTACCAGGGGCATCTTATGGGGCCCCCTACTGACCCCAGGCCCTTGGGCAGTGCCCGAGTTTCCAAATGGTCAGTCCGCCCCTGCCATGGAGTAACCCACAACCCCCATCAGGGATGGCCATGCACTCATTTGGCGATCTGAGATCTGATTGGTCGTTTTGTGTTTTTACGCTTTGTATAACGTCTCTGATCTTTGCACATCCTCGATGGATAAGCCGGATGGAGTATGTATTGTGATGGATGTTTGTGTTTTGCTGTTTCCACTAACAAGTTTTTTTCCTCTGTTGTAGAATGACTCCTCCAGCGACAGCGACACAGACAGTGAGAGTCACTTTTCCCTGCTCTTCCCCCAGGATTACTTGGGCCTAGCCGTATTCTCTATGCTCTGCTGTTTCTGGCCCCTGGGCATTGCTGCGTTCTTCCTGTCACAAAAGGTAAATGGCAGCTGACATTGCCGCAGGCGTAGCCTGTCCCAGGTCTGTTGATGGAAGGTTGTGTGGAGGCTAAATCTGGAGCACTGTGTATATTGCAGGGGGGGGATTTAAAGGATCAGTCCACAAAAAAAAATATTTCAGTTTTTGGTGGAAGATGATGAGTGAAGTCACCTTATAATGAGGGGATCCCGCTCTTCCCTGAACTCTAGCTACAACATTTATATTTAGTGGAGAAGGAGTAGAGCCTCTTTAAAGTGTTACTAAACCCTCAACAGTAAAATCAGTCTGTATATGCAGGAAAGAATGCTTGTTATACTCACTGTGGAACCTAAGGGGTTAATCCTCCGCATTGTGTAAAAAGGCTGTTGATCATGCCTTCTCTGATCCTCCTCTTCTTCAAATGTTAATGCTGATAAGACAGACTGAACCTGTGGCCATTCTGCACATGCTCAGTTTAGTGTGTATTGCTAGAGGCTTTTTTTTTTCTTGGGAGAGTGCATGTGATTAGCACATGGCCAATCAGCACAGTCCAGACAGAGGTCAGGGGTTCTGCATCCTCCTGGAGCAGAATGAAAACTCCTCCTACAAGCTTTAACCAGTGCTCTGCTGGACACTGATAGAAGTCACAAGACTGCTCTAACTGCTGATGAGAAAAGGTATTTAGCAGTTTATATTTACTAAAATAATTGTGTTTTCATGTTGTGTGTACTGTGGGAGACCGGATATAGTGAATGCAGGGTCCTGGGAGACCAGATATAGTGAATGCAGGGTCCTGGGAGACCAGATATAGTGAATGCAGGGTCCTGGGAGACCAGATATAGTGAATGCAGGGTCCTGGGAGATCAGATGTAGTAAATGCAGGGTCCTGGGAGACCAGATATAGTGAATGCAGGGTCAGGGGGAGACCAGATATAGTGAATGCAGGGTCCGGGGTTAGTAACAATTTAAGGTTCTTTCCCGCCATCAAAAAACAGAAATACATTTGCGGCAGAGTGGGGAAGTGTTAGTCCTCATGCACACTGGACGTTTTTACAGCGGCTGTTTTTGGCTTTTGATGTTTTTTTTCTACAGCCAGTAAACTCCCCAGCATGTTATTCTATGTGTCCATGCACGCAAAGACTGTAATCAACGTGTTTTGGCTAGAAAAAAAACAGGACTAATGGGTTTCTAGAGGAGTGTTTTAGCTGTAAAAACGCTCTAACACTGATAAACGTGGCAAAACGCAGTAAATCGAGGCAAACTAGCATTTTTGGACTTTTTTTACCCCAAAAAAACTCAGCTAACGTTACCAGCCCAGTGTGCATGGAACCTTAAATTGTCTCACAATATTTTATTCTTGGCTGTGACTTCCTGATAAGGTGACAACCACACCTCTATTTATTGTACAGGTGTCAGGGAGGCAGGAAGTGAGAGAAGTCCCCCTCAGCAGGGTCCTCTTCAAATAATATCAGCTTGTAGTCCAGTATAAAGCATCTTTGTATTGATATATTTTTGATCATAGTATTGAATAGTATTTTATCTTTTTGATTTTACAGAGATACTTTTTACCGCCATGCTTCATTTTATTTGCTAACTTTAAATCAATTTTTACCAATATTAAAAAGTTATGAAAAAATGCTGTAATTAGAATTTATATAAAATTGATTGTCTTACTATTTAAATAATGCCCCTGTTATTTACATTACTGTGTATTATTTTTAATTCTTAAAAATGTAAAAATTGTTATAAAATGAATAATACCATTTTTTATTAATATTATTGTTTTTATTGCTATTATTATTATTAGTATTATAGTAGTAGTAGTAGTAGTAGTAGTAGTAGTAGTAGTAGTAGTATTAGTAAATATATATTATTATTATTATTATTATTATTATTAGTAGTAGTATTAGTAGTAGTAGTAGTAGTAGCAGTATTATTATTATAATTATTATTAGTAGTAGTATTAGTAGTAGTATTAGTATTATTATTAGTAGTATTATTATTATTAGTAGTAGTAGTATTAGAATTATTATTATTATAGTAGTAGTAGTAGTATATATTATTATATAGTAGTATTATTATTTTTTATACAGTATTTATTATAGCGCCAAAGGGTATGCTCAGCGCTGTACAGTAACAAGGGGGACAGAACATGAGACAAGACAGTAACAATACACTACACAAGGGGTTTGAGGGCCTTGCTCTTTTGAGTTTACAATCTAGGAGATTAGTATTATTAGTAGTAGTAGTAGTATTATTGGTAGAAGTAGTATTAGTATTATTATTATTAGTAGTATTAATATTATTATTATTAGTATTAGTAGTATATATTATAGTAGTAGTAATATTAATATTAGTAGTAGTTTTAGTAGTAATATTATTATTAGTAGTAGTAATAGTAGTATTATTAATATTATTATTATTAGTAGTAGTATTATTATAGTATTATTATATTAGTAGTAGTATATATTATTATTATTAGTATTATTAGTAGTAGTATAGTAGTAATTTTATTAGTATTATTATTATTAGTAGTAGTACTAATATTATTATTATTAGTAGTAGTAGTTAGTAGTAGTAGTAGTAGTATAGTAGTAGTAGTAGTAGTATTATATTATTAGTAGTAATATTATTATTATTATTAGTATTATATTATTAGTAATATTATTGCTAGTAGTAATTATTATTGTAGTAGTAATATTATTGCTAGTAGTATTATTATTGTAGTAGTAGTAGTAGTAGTAGTAGTAGTAGTAGTAGTATATTATTAGTAGTAATATTATTATTATTATTAGTAGTAGTAGTATTAGTAATATTATTGCTAGTTATTAATATTATTGCTAGTAGTAGTAATAGTAGTATTATTATATTATTATTATTAGTAGTTAGTAGTATTATTATTAGTAGTAGTAGTAGTTTAATATTATTATTAGTAGTAGTAGTAGTAATATTATTATTAGTTTAAGTAGTAATAGTAGTAGTTATTTTTATATTATTATTATTAGTAGTAGTATTATTAGTAATATATTAGTAGTAGTAGTTATATTATTATTAGTAGTATTAGTAGTAGTATTAGTATTAGTATATATTATTAGTATTATTATTATTAGTAGTAGTACTAATATTATTATTATAGTTAGTAGTAGTAGTAGTAGTAGTAGTAGTAGTATAGTATTAGTAGTAATATTATTATTATTATTAGTAGTAGTATTAGTAATATTATTGCTAGTAGTAATATTATTGCTAGTAGTAGTAGTAGTAGTAGTAGTATTATTAGTAGTAGTAGTAATATTATTATTATTATTAGTAGTAGTATTAGTAATATTATTGCTAGTAGTAATATTATTGGTGGTGGTGGTGGTGGTATACCTGATGAAAGGGACATCTATTCACAAAACATGTTGGCTCTTTTTGAACTTTTATACATTTCAAATGCAAAGATATATCACATTTTAGGCCGTTTTTAGACACAAGCTCTGCTCTTCCCAACAGAGCGAAGCATTCCTTTTTTTTTGCACTTTAAATATAAAAACCTGGAATATATTTTAACTCTTCCCCTCTCTATCAAAAACTCAAGTTAAAAAAAAAGCTGTCTGGAGTTAAGGTTTTAAATGATACGATACTGACTTCCCCACTGAGACCTAAAGCAACTTTATAATCTGAGCAAAATTCTAAAGCTTGCCATACACTGATCGGAATTTAGTAGACCCAGCAAGTACTGACCGAATTTCAATCAGTGTGTGGGCTCCCTCACTCAGAAGGTCAACAGTCAACCGAAGCTGACTGACAGCTGAATCTGCTGTCAGAATACAATGCCTCAGAGGAGGTGGATGAAGATGGTGATGATGGTGGATACAGTACCGGGACAGGGTCGTCCAGCGGCCAGGGCAAGGTTGCAGATATGCGCCCCCCTCCCCATTGTTAATATATGCCGTAGAATGGGTGTACCACCCTGCATCTGCTATTCTTTGCCCCCTTTCTTCTCTGTGCCCATGGCAGCTGCCCCTCCTGCCCACCCCTTGTCCCAGCCCTGGGTGGATGAATTTATTTTTTATACTAGTGTCCAAAGCTCTACCAATACAGACTCTGAAAGTGTTTTTAACTGTTGGATTTTCAAAGTGTAAAGCTGGTCATACGCGGTTCGTTTTTTGTTTTTGTTTTTTTCATTCAGCCAGCACTTCAATAATCTAAAATTTACAAAAACTTTCAGGGACTTAAAGTGTTTCTAAACTCATAACAGTAAAATCAGTCTTTATATGCAGTAAATCATGCCTGTTATACTCACTGTGGAACTTAAGGGATTAATCCTCTGCATTGTTTAAAAGGACATTTAATCCTGTTCTCTCTGATCCTCCCCTTTTTCTACTGTCCCCAATCCATCTGCCGATAGAACAGAGCCTTGGGGGCAAGCTGCACATACTCAGTTTAGTGTTTATTGCTAGAGAGGTTTTTTTTTTTTTCTCTTGGAGGAGTGCATGTGATCAGCACAGAGCCAATGAACACTGTCCAGACAGAGGGTCAGGGGTTCTGCAGTCTCATAGGACAGGTGAGAGGAGAATGAAAACTCCTCCTACAAGCTTAACCAGTGCTCTGCTGGACACTGATAGAAGTCCCAAGACTGCTCTAACTGCTGATTAGAAAAGGTATTTAGCAGTTTATATTTACTAAAATAATTGCATTTCCATGTTCTGTGTACTGTGGGAGACCGGATATAGTGAATGCAGGGTCCAGGGAGACCAGATATAGTGAATGCAGGGTCCTGGTTTTAGGAACACTTGAAGTATTGGTAGAGCTCTGGACACTAGTGTAAAAAATAATTTGCAGGCATTTAGTGAGGGCTCTCTGTGAAACACGTGACCCCGACAGAGCCCACCATAGCAAGGATGCAAAAAAATGTTCAAGAAGTGAAAGCACTGGTTAAGTTTAAGAGATCCACTTGGTTTTAGTTTGCCAAAGTGAGACTCACAGGATTAGCCAACTCTTTCATCAAGGAAAGCAAAAAAAGGCAGCTCTCCTCCTTAATATAATCTCAAAGTGCTAATACAAACCTGAATGAAATCTTTAAACCAAAATATAAATCAATATTGCATATCTATTATAAAATTTTCAAAACAGTTTTCTCCTTCACTGATGTGCATTGATGAGGCTGCACTGATAGGCAGCACTGATGGGCACTGATAGGCGGCACTGATAGGTGGCACTGATGAGCTGGCATTGATAGGTGGCACTGATGAGCTGGCAATGATAGGTGGCATTGATAGGTGGCACTGATAGGTGGCACTGATGATGGATGGACACTGATAGGCGGCACCGATAGGCAGTACTGATGAGCTGGCACCGATGATGGGTACTGATAGAAAAATATAGATCAATATTGCATATCTGTCTCAAAAAAAATATTATATCCAGCATAAAGTGTCCTTTCACAAACGTATTCAGTAAGCCAAGAATGTAAAATATAAAATGTCCAAACACCGTGATAAAAAAATATATAAGTGCTCTTGTCTTCAATATTCAAACTTCATGTGACAAAAACATACAAATCACCGTGCACAAATCCACCAGCAGATAGATTGGGTAAACTCACCAGAGCAATATGCTGGTCATATTATAAAATCAGCACAAACGCTTCTGCTCTGGGAGCAACGATCTGCAGATGGATAACCAGCATATGTGGGATAATTCAAATGGCACTAGATTCTTCTCAGTCTCGGAATGAACTCAGGAAGTAAGAGAGGAAAGACTCATAGCGTAACACTGTATCAAAAATATATTCATAAAAGCACATAATGTATTCCACTCACATTTACTAGTGTCCGAGCCAACACCAGCATGAATAGCGTGCACAGCATAAACCAAACAGCCTGCTCCGTTGTACACAGACGCCGGCAGCTCGCTGAACGCGGTGACGTCACCTCCAATTACCAGTTTTTTTTGTGTGTGCTTGAGGCCTTAAAGTCCAATTGTAGTCTCACATCTTTTTATCACTTTACAATCTAGTACTATGCCATGTTACTATTTGTGACTGATTTTTGCTTGGAAATGCCTCATAATACCTTGCTTCCTAATGCCCCATAATGCCTCATAATACTTTGCTTCCTAATGCCCCATAATGCCTCATAATACCTTGCTTCCTGACCTTACACTCCAGTGCTTTGTTCTAGCTATAAAAATAGAGGTTGTCTGTAAAATGCCCATCTGATTTCATCTTTAATTCTTTGACTGTAACTGTGATTTAAAGTGATTGTAAATGCTAATTTTTTTTTTTTTTTTTAATAACAAACATGTTATATTTACCTGAGCAGCCTTGATCCTCCTCTTCTTGGGTCCCCCACTGCCACTTCTGGCTTCTCTTCTTCTTGGTGTGCCACCATATGAAGTTGTGGTACACCTGCGAGCTCAACCCAGCTGCGCTGCCTGTGTCTATAGACACAGAGAGGGTGGCTTAGCCCCGCCCCCCACTCCCTTGGCACAGGGTTTGACTGACAGCAGTGGGAGCCAATGGCTTCTGCTGCTCTGAGCCAGGCCTGTGAAACTGGGGAGAGGGCAGAGAGACCCTACAGAAGCGCACAGCACTGGATCAAGTGAGGGCTCAGGTAAATATAAGGGAGGTGAGGGGACTATACTGCTACCTCAAAAATTTTTACCTCAGGGCAAGAAATTTAGTAAGGTAAAAAGGGTTTAATCTTTGGAACCACTTTAACCTTTAGACGGCAAATGTAAGCAAATATGTGGCCTCTCAGTGTCTGGGCCTTGACGGCGAGCGGCCGCGTATTTGCGTGCCATTAGAAAATACATATGTGCTGAGAGTGCGCATACTGCATGCTCCCAGAACATACTGTATGTCCGTGACTCACGGAAAGGTCCCAATCTCCCCTTGTGATCGGGACCTTCTCTGATCATGTGACCACCGTGACGGCGATTCACGGCAGTCACAGGACCCTAAAATCTCGCCCACCTCCTGGCTTCTGAAACTCTTAAAGGGCCGGGAGGTGCCAGTGCAAAAGGGTTAAGGAAAATTCAGTGTAATTCTATTTTTGTAACCAGTTTTTTTCTTTCTCTACAGACCAACAAAGCTTCAGCTCAAGGCGACTACCATGGGGCCATCGTTGCCTCCAGACAGACATTCCTGTTGGCGGTTCTCTCGATCTTCCTGGGCATTTGCACCTACGTGGGTGCTGTGGTGGCACTCATTGCCTATCTGTCCAACAGAGCCCCCACCTAGAGAACCAACTGTTGGATCAGACAACCAGACTTCTCATTATCATGGCTAGAGCCCTCCTGTCTGCTGGTTACCCAGAAAACAACAAAGATAAAGACACATTGGGGGTTCAATGGAAGTCTACTTTTTTTCTGCATTTTACTTTATTCAGACGTGAACGAAATCTGACGTGTCTTGATGCATCTCATACTCCAGCCAATTCCTTGTGGAAGAACTATAGGCATTGTGTAAAAAAAAAAAAACGTCCACATGTATATTCACTGGAAATTTGGAAAGCCTATTTTTAAATTGTGCAATGTGTAATTCTCTGTAATCCTTTATAATAAAGTCCCATCATTCCGTACCCAGCAGCTGATAATAGAAATGACTACAATGGTTGATGAGGAAAGAAACAGACATGAGGCATTCAGTCTCTACCGGTCCCCTTCTGGGATTTGTTGATGTATGCAGACTTACATGGTTCACACTCTGGGAGAGGGATTCGTTTAAAAAGCAGAGTTCAGGCAGAGTTTATACATGAAGGAAGGCAGGGCATGGACCATATATTAGAGAAACAATTGCAAATTTAGAAAATGCTGAGGCAGTCTCCAAGGCACGGCAGTCATAGAGTTTTGGAGACACGTGAAACTGAGCACAGGGAGGGCCATATTGATACAAATTTCTTTAAAAAATGTTTTTTTTCTGGTTAAATTTAATTTGTTGCAACAAAAAAGGCAAGAGAAGTAGAAGTTCAGAAGTTAGACATATTTTTTGCTAAATCTGACAGCATCTATATATATATATATATATATATATATATATACAGTATATATATATATATATCACATTACGATAATATTTTCTCCCAGCGTTCTTTGGAGGACACAGTCCTCTACACTTGGGTATGTCCTCCTGTCTTTAGGAAGCGAGACACTGGTCAAAATCAAAGGCACAGCCCCACCTAGTGGCAATACCCCTGCATATACTGAACAAGCCCAGTTTAGCTTAGTGTCCTTAGAAGGTAGAATGTCTCTTTCCATCTCTGCTGATCAAGACTTAAAATGATATTCAACCCTCAGTTTTTAGGCACTTTTAGCAGCTGAGTAATATTTGCATATGTTACATATTAAGCTGGTGCCTTCAGGTTTCCTATGGGGCCACCATTGCATGCATCAATAGAAAGACACAGTGCCCCATAGCCTATGATGGCATGGCACTCCCCTGCTCCTCCCTCCTCCTCCCCCTCCCTAGTCCAAGCCAACATACCGACTGGAGACAGTAGTGTCCACTGTTATCTCTTTTCTGTGAAGATCGGAAGTTCAGGGAAGCAGCACCCAGACCAGCAGCATTGAAAGCTGTAAACTGCAAGTATTGGGTAAGAATTTTAACAAATAGTTTACTTGGGAATTCTTATTTTATTGTGTCCAATGTGATAAATCCACTGTAAATCGAAAGATTCTTCTATCAGCAGCCACTGATGGCATAATACTGGACCCCTGGATCTTGGAGGTTCACAACAGCAGTCAACATTTTTCTTTTTTCAGTATCTGGACATTCACTGCAGCTGCCTAGCTTCTCTCTGTCATACCAGACCCACCCCCCAGATATAGATTATAGCATTATATGAAAAGGTCAGTCCAGCCAAAGCTGATATTTCAGTTTTTGATTAAAACCTAATAATTTCCTATATCTTCAGGGGCCTCCCTGCTGAATCTTTTATTTTACATTATGGAGAAGGTCATAAAAGGAGCTGCAACATGCAAGGGTAGGCACAAACAGCCGAAAAGCTCAGAGGAACAGAAACACTTGGAAATCATGGCAAGGTGATCCTACTATTATCAGAGACATATACAAAGCTGGAAGCTAACTCAGCCCAACAGGTTCTATTTATTACTAAAATGTCACTTTTGGTTGGACTGACCCTTTAATAATACAATGGAGCCTCCAGGTACAGAGTTTCTTGTAGCTAATATGCTCCTCTCTGCAAAAGTATTTTTTTTAATGTCTTTAAATAAAAGGCAACAGAACCACTTATCTTTTCTTGCTAATTCCTAAGAAATGGCATAGGAATATGGAGTCTGTCACTGCTGACCTCCTTTTAGAAATGCTAGTTGGCCTTACTGTGTCTGGCTTCAATACCTTGAGTCATTGACCTAGAACCAGTATTCGAATCAGGAATGTCAAAGCTAATCTCAGACACTACCGTAGCCATTGGATTGGTATGGCAGCTAGTGAACCAGAAGAGATCAGCAATATCAGCCTCCATACCTAGAGAACAGTATTTGGATCCTTTGAACATACTGTCCATGCACAGGAAATTGACAGCACCTCTGAAAATACACCCCCGCCATTCTTCTTATACTCATCTTATCAGTCCCTTCCTTCTAAACAGTCATGATACCTGGCACATCCGGGTATGGAGGGGCATGTGATCATCTCCCCTGTGACAGGGCAGCCAATCGTTACATGATGGGCAAATAACACCATTCCCCATAGTCATCAACACAACTTATCGCCACCTGCAGAATAGGAAGGAACAGAGGGTAGCAGGGTAGGGTAAGCATAAGGGGGTCTTTGCCCCACATGGGCAAGATGACAGCGTCTCTTGAAAAAAGAACTTCACCTGGCTTTCCAGAAATAAAACTTATCGGGTACAAGTACTGTAGCTGCTGACTTTTATTTTTGCATAGCCAGGTGCAGTTCTTCTTTAAAGAGACGCTGTTTTGTTTCTCAATACCCAACATGTCCCTGTGTTATCTCAATCAGCAAGGATCATACAACCTATGTGCGAGCTGACATCAGGGCTAAGATGCAAATGCCCAGCAGCAAACAGAAGGTGTTTAGATTACCAGGATAGAAACAACATTCCAGGGCATGCCATCGATAGGGAGAGAGCAAATGAAATGAGATTCAGGAAGAAGCTTCTGGGGCCTGGCTGTCTTAAAAGTGACACTAAACTTTGGTTTAAAATAATATATATTTTATAGTATGTATTCCTAATTCAGAAAAGTCCCTTCTATTGCTCTCAGCCTCCTCCAGATTTCCAAATTCCTTTTTTGCTTCTGTGATCTGGCTTTCTGTTACAGGGTGGCTACATTCGTTCGCCACCAGTCCCACTGTATGTAGGAACATAGCCATCCTCTGTTGCTTGCTCTCAAGATGGACTATGGGATTTGTAGTGAGCATAGAGCAGTGCACATGACCACAACCAACGTGTGCTGCTTGTTCCAAACAAATTAAATTTTTTTTGGGGGGGCGGGATTCCAGAGTTCAAAGAGGACATTACAAAGAGCCAGACTTAGGGTGGCCATACATTATACAATTTTCTTGAGAATTTTGCTTTAGATTTACCAAAAACCATATAATATGAGGTCAAACCTATACAACACTTTCAGTTGTATCCAATTAGGCAGGCTCTTGTACTACATATTTGAAGGTAAATCTAAAGGAAATTGGGCTGAAATTGGACAGAAAATGGTATAGTGTATGGGCAACCTAAAGCTTTGAGAGTGTAAAATCAGGTGCACTTCTGCATAGAAACCAATCAGCTTCCAGATTTTATTGCCAAAGCTTAATTTAACAAGCTGAAGTTAGAATCTGATTGGCTACCATGCACAGCTGTACCGGATTCTGAGTGAGCCAGCTTTAGTAAATCTCCCCATTAAGTAACGATTTTGTGAAATGTAGATTACAGGGCCATTAAGTAGTGGATGTTTATGGATTATTTTTGGAGTAAAAAAGAATATACTTTAGTGTCACTTTAAGTGCAATAACACGTAGCAGTCTACTAGAATCTATCTTCTGATTTAATTTTACCACAATGACTATGAATTGATTGCAATGGGTAATTTAGGAATAGGAACCCTTTGTTGTTAACAAAAAAAAGTCTTTTATGTCAAATCGGTTACATAATCTCTTGTCTTCATTTTACCCATTTTATGAATAGGTGGATGATTTTTAAAACTACACACTGACTGAATATATCTCTACAGAGCTGCCTCCTATGTGTTGTACACTGGCCCTACACATACAGACTGAAGCAGCAGATACATTACAGGTTTATCTGGCTTAGAAAATGCCTACAAATCATACAGATGTGGCAGAGCTGGGAATGAAATGATCTTTCTGAGGAGCTGACCGTAAGACTTCACCATAAGGATTGGGTTTGAAGAAGGATCATTTCTCTCACTGGACCCTCCTAGTGTAGGATGCTAGGCAAATTTAGTTTTTGGCTCCTTCTGTAATCAGGGAGCAGTGATGGTTGTTTTGATCTGTTCATGCTTTCGCAAGCTGGGAGTTTGATTGCTTCCCCCTGCCTCTGGAAGAACTTCCACACCCTATGAAGGGAGATTCACATGACCAACCTGAATATTCATCATGGCCTAGCCAATTCTTGGAGAGGAATGTCCAGAAAATGGCTGGGGAGGTGATAAATAGTCTGAAGCCCTGGAGAGATTGTTCTTTTCTTGGCAGGGAAGGTTCCAAAGCCTCTGGGGCTGCCCCCTGAGGCAGCCTGTGGACTAGTAGCTGTTCTCTGAAGCTTCATCTGTGGCAGAACTGGGGACCTGAAGTGATCGTTTTGAGGAGCAGGCTGTAGGACTTCACCATAAGGGTTCGGGTTTGAAAGAGGACTGGACCATGTCTGGAAGAAGCTGGAAGGTGTACAGCTGTCCTGGGGACCTGTGAGTACTGAACATGTAATGTGATTCTTGGTGACTAAGTGCCAGAGGTAGCTGTGGGCCGCAACAGTTCTCATAGGGTCTCATCATACTGACCATTCCCCTGTCCTCAGCAGAGCCTAGGGAAAAGTGTCCTTCTGTTACTGTGTGTTTTGTTAGTATCCTATGCTATAACCCCTCTCCTGTTTATAGTTCCCCAAGCAATGTACTTCAAAAAGACATCCCCTAGACTAGTATTGAAGCCGGTGTGCATGAACTGGTGCTTGTGGTGGTGGGCAGCCTCTATACCATTTGGGAAGAACCAGCTATTATCATTGGCCCCTACAAGGCACTACACTTGTTAAA